GGACTGAATTAGAGATTTACATGTTTAATGAATAAAGTTAAACTTACCTGTATGCCATTATGAAATATTAGGAAGTAGCATAAAAGCATGAGTGAAGAAGGCAATGGCAATCTAAATCATTGTAATCTAAATGTATAACATTATCAGTATCTGCTATTAATTTCAATACTGCTGAAAAAATTATAAATGAATTATATTATAAATCGTATGAACTCGTTGCATTATAAATTACAACAGTTAGATAAATATTATTAGCGTGATTTAGCGACCATCTTTGTTAACAAATAATTTCAAGTAACTAATTTTACAAATAATTCAGCCTGAAAATAGGTTAGAAAAATAAGCTACATGCTGAAGATTAAGCTTTGCCAAGGTGTTAGAAACATCTTCTCATAACTAGAGTTATGAAGCAAGAATTTGTAAAAATTATCATTTAAATATAAATTGGCATATAAATACAATACAAATTATATAAATTTTACATACATGAAAACTTGAGTACAGTGCAACAATATGTGAAAAAGGAATGGATTAAAAGGGAACTGAAAATCCCAGGATATGAATATAAGGGATTTTATTTTTATTTATTTATTTATTTTTGTTAATTATGAAAATTCTGCTAACGCTCATAATTATTAATTTATTAATTAAATGTGTATTAGAAATTAAATGTATGCCAAAGTGCATCAAGTGGAAAACAGAATAAATATTTAAACGCTCCTAGTATTAAAATATGGAATTTGTAACAAAGTTAAATAACCTTAAAATAACTTCAATGATTAAAAATGGAAAGCTTAATACGGGAATATATTGCAACAATATTAGTGTGAATTTAGAACGACTTAAGAAGTCCAATTTTTAGATTTAATAAAGATAATTTTTATAATTAAATTAGAACTTACCTCAAATGGTAAATTTGAAAGTTAAAACCATTCTGCTATCTAAGAAGATTTGTGAATATTTATTTAGACAAGAAACTTATTTAAGGTGAGCTACAAATCCGATATTTGATACGTTGATTATGTATCAGTTTTGTGTATGTCATTAATCTATCAATTTTACTATTCAAAACTGATATATATATCAGCGACTAAAATCTGCAATTTGGAAAGTTTTTAATTCTTACGGAGAATAAAAAAGATCTGGCTCATCATTCCTTTAAGCATCATAAAACTTTAAAATGAGTGTAAAAGAAATTTATTTTTAGCACACGCCAGACTTTAAATTAATATTTGTTTTACATGCACAATTTTTACAATATTGATAAACGAAAATACAGGCTTGCAGTCTCAATAAGAATGTCCCGTTAATGGCGGCGATAAACGACTTTTTGTAGCACCCAATCTTCTTGGTAAAGAAATGGGGACAGGAGGAAACGTCGCGCAGTTCGTGGATTAAAAAAGAGGGGGACGGGGATTTTCGATCAAATTTGCCGCAGTTCGTACCCTACCGTTTTAAATATCCCCATGCCGCAAAGGCATTATGCGCTTACAGACACCTAAGCCTTTTTCTGGGATTCAACCTGGACTCATTGATATGGCAGCGGCAAGCTTACCGTTCTCTATCTCAGGACTTGTAAATATAAAATTAAAGCAGCATACTACTTATGTACACACACATATGTATATAATAGGGGGACCGGAAAGTAATGTCGCTTTCTTGCATTAAATTCAAACGAATAAATTTGTAACAAGTTTTTATTTTTAATCAATGATATAATCACCTTCGTTATCAGCAACCTTTTGCCATCTAGTATGCCGATTTCAATCCCAGACCGATAAAAATCAATTGGTTTTTGAGTAAACTATCTCGAGATGGCATTTTGGACATCATCCAAATTTTCAAATATTTTGTCACTAAGAAAATGTTGTAGGGATCGGAATAAATGGAAATCCGAGGGTACGATATCGGGCGAATATGGTGGGTGAGGCAGTACCTCCCACCCCAATTCATTATATTTTTCTAGTGTTCGTCTTGCACAGTGCGGTCTTGCATTGGCGTGTTGCAGAATGACGCCTTTTCCGTTGACAATCGCCAGATATTTTTCGATTAAAGATTGGTTCACTAGATCCAATTGTTCACAATAAAGGTCTACATGATTTCCTGCAGTTTTTCCAGGTTTCAGCAATTCAAAATGAACAATTCCGCGAATACTCCATCAAACACCCAGAAGCGCCTTTTCGGGATGTAAACCCTTCGTAACCCCTTTAAAACTGCCTTTTGAGTTTTGGATTATCATATAGGACTTATTTTTTTGTCTCCACTAATCAAAAAACGGTTCTGTATGGTGCCGTTGAAGCAATACGTTGCATGTGATGGATAGTTTGGCTTTGTTCTTTTCGGACAAATTATGGGGGGCTCAAACACCTGCTTTGCTTATTTTTCCATTCTGCTTTAAATGTTCTTGGATGATCGACCAAGGTTGGTTAAGAGTGTTTGATATGGATTTGCTTCCACTTCTCCCTTAGCATGTTGTTGTCGACATGCGCAGAAACGACATTACTTTCCGGTCCCCCTATAAATGTACAAAACAATTCTTTTGAAAACCAAACACTAACATGCCTAGTTATTTTCGCGCATTAACCTGCAGAAAAACTATAAAAGACATAAAGTAAGAAATTTAGAACTAATATTTCACAAAGACCAGAAATTGAAATTCATAATTAATAACTTTCAAATAATCGTAGAAATGCAACAATAAATTAAAAAATTTTAAAACCAAAACATTTCATGCAATCAAAACCCATCTTTAAGAATTATGAAATTTAAAGAAAAATTAACAAAAACAGAAGAGGAATTCAATCAAATTCTAATCCTATAATTCTTTTTAAATAATAACAGTATTAACTTGTATTATTTTTTCCTCTGAATTTGCCGTAACGTAAATCGTAAGCGTCACTTTCAAGACCGACGCTAGACCTTTTGCCGCCACTGTAAAATATAAATAATAAGAGTACTATCTGCTAAATTCAAGAAAATTTATGTGTTTGTGAAATAATAAATAATTTACGTACCTAAATTATCTAATTAGCTGATTTGTTGCACTAGCAACGCAGTACGATGTGTATCGTCTGAGAAACAGTTACAAAATGTTTTCGTCAATGCCAAAAAAATGCCATTAAGTACAAACAACGTGGTGGTTGAATTCTAACAGCTGATCAACAATGCGAACTTTGATAAGTAGTTCTCGATAATCAGTTGTTAACAATTATCTGTTATTATTAAAATTTAACATTATAAAATTAACAAAAAGAATATAAGACACATATCCTGGAGAAGTAGCCACATGGCCGCCGAAAACAGTATTCTCCCGCCGTTCTATAGCTTATAGTCCATTCTTTCCAAAAAATCGGGACTTTTTTAAAACGTCGCGGGACCAATTGTTAAAAATCGGGACGTCTGATCACCTTACCTTAACAGTCCTTGACCCGTGGCACAGAGGCTTATGAGGCATGAAAATTGAACATCCATATTCTTCAACTTCTCGCATAATAAATTAAGGTTCCGACTTCTGTTGGTATTGGTGTTAGGTAACCAGAAAAGGAGAGTAGCAGTACCAGACATAAACATTGCTTTCCGTATCATCTGGTTTGGAGGATATATAGCCGAAATGTTTCACGTGTATCTTGTCATCATATATTTTCTTTTTGGGCGACAAACATTTGTAGCGCGTGCAGAAAATTCCTGCACACTTGATTTATCGGAAAATGATACCCCACTCAGCTATTGTACTGTCCAATTCTGATATTGTCTGGCGAAAGTCAGTCTTTTTTTTTTTTTTTTCTTTCTTGTACGAAGTCAAAAAAAGGAAGTACAGTGGGTAAAAAGAGTATTGGCAATTGCCTATCATTGACCATATTTTTTTAGCTAACAGAGAAAACGCTTGAAAATTTTATCTGGACATAACGAACACAGGAGGTAATAAAGACACAAATCTAATGAAACTTTAATTTCAATATGCCTTTTACACAAAAGATACAACAAAAACGTAAAATTTGCATGTCAAAAAACAGTATTGGCAAAGTTCTAACACTGCTATGCAAATTTGTTATGTTGAGGTCATGTGTTTCGACTGATAAGAAACCCTGTTAGTCTGCAATGCTCTTTTAAAACGTTATTTTGCTAATTCTGTGATAAAATGGCTTCGAAGGAATTGGACGTAAATGTTAAAAGCAGGATTATTCAGATCATAAATGATGTTTAAGTACCGTGCTATAGGGATACAACTAAATGTTAAGTTTATTTACTGTTAGAAGTTGTTGTGTCTAGCGGTGTGGGTTCAGTGAAGTGCATGACGCAACCAAAACAGACTAGTTCACGGCACAAACATTTATTTCTAACTAACTCATAAGACAGCAGCGATGCACTATTTACGCAGTTACATTACATTCTACTCTACTCTACTCTCGTTCACAGAGGTTCTCGGGTATAAGAGTACTGATACTCTCGAAATCAGATGCTACATCCCTCCCCACTTATTTAGAGATTTAATCTCTGAGGAGCTTTGCGGATGCGCGAAGATCGTCCAAGTCCTGGCTGAGGTTGCTGCAACTCTTTATCAGGATCCACTGAAAGGACTGGATCAGTTTTCCTTGGAACTGACGATGTTTCAAGTCCGGCTGAAGTTTGCACAGCTTCACTTCTTTGTTCGATGTCCTTGTGGCTTCGCGTTGCCATCTGAAGTAGCAGTCATACGAGGTTCATAAATTACCGGTGCAGATGGAACCTCGCTCCCTCCCGATCTGATCTGATCGACGTGCCGGCGCAGTAACGTTCCTTGAACGTCAATGCAGCGCTCCATCCTTATTTATCTATAATTCCGAATGGCAACCTTTTCTCCGATCTCAAAATTTCTGTCTTTGAAATCATAAGTATTCTTTCGGATGCGTTCTTCCACTCTTCGTTTAAGATTTGGAACAACTAAATCAATTCGAGTTCTAATTTCTCTTTTTAAGAATAATATTTCTGGACCTAACAAGGTTGTCATGTTCGGTGCCTTTCTATATTTCATGAGGACTATGGCAAGTTTTTTGCTTAATATTTCCTGGATAACCTTGCATTGCACGTAATGCTTGTTTAACGGTGTAAACGTACCGCTCTGCTTGCCCGTTACTTGCCGGTTTAAATGGAGCACACGTTTTGTGTTTAATTCCATTATTCCTTATAAAAGTTTCAAATTCCCCCGATGTGAACTGAGGACCATTGTCACTCACTACTACTAAAGGCAGTCCGTATCTTGCAAAACAGTCTCTCAAACATTCAATTGTCTGAAAGGAATTTGTTGACTTTAAGGTATACACTTCTAGCCATTTAGAATGTGCGTCAATGATAATCAAGAACATTCGTTCAAAAATAGGGCCTGCAAAATCTACGTGAATGCGTTCCCAAGGCGCACTTGGATATTCCCAGTGATGGACCCTTGCCCTTACTGGATCTGATTTGAACTTAATACAATCGACACAGTTCCTAGAAACTTCTTCAATATCATGATCAATTCCCTTCCAAAAGACGTAGGATCTGGCGATTGCCTTCATTTTAACGATTCCTAAATGTCCTTGGTGTAACTCTTCGAGAATTTTAACTCGGAGTTTTTTCGGAACAACTACCCTCTGACCACTCATTATACAGTCATCTTGTAAGGTGTGTAACAGCTTTAAATATTATTAAAATCTTGTAGTTTAAATAATTTAAATAGATGGACATTAAGGTATTTGTGAATGGCAATATTTGAAACCAGACTCGAGTGCCACGTGCGACTCTCGCACGAAGAATGTAATTTATTTTAAAATGTTAGAATTCTTTTTTCTTCTTGTTTTGTACGTCGCCTTTTTGAATGCTAAATAAAGTTTTTTCTGTGTTCCATCATTGGAGTTGCTTCATATTGCCAAAGAAGTATCACAGGTTTTCTCGGCTTCCCTACCTTCCAAACTTTCTCCAGATTTTAATTTCATATAAAGACGATTTAATTCTTCATCAGCTCGTGTTTTTCCCGAGCTATCTCCCTAGCTGTTACCAGGAAGAGTTTCAATTTGGGAGAGTTGGAATATTTCAACATCATCCTTAATGCTTAAATCTTCGGACTTAAGAGGCAGGCGCGACAGGCAGTCAGCATTACCGTGTTCCTTGTATTTCGATACACAATATCAAACTGATATGCCTGCAATATCAGTGCATAATGTAAAAGTCGGGTGGCTGTGAGGATAGAAAGTCCTCTTTTCGGTTTGAAAATAGCCACTAAATATTTATGATCTGTCACCAGAGAAAATCGTCTCCCCTTTAGATATACATAAAACATTTTGACAACCCAAACAATTGACAGAGCTTCTTTATCGATTTGGGCGTATTTCTGCTCTGTGTTAGTCAGTGTCCTCGATGCGAATGCTATAGGCCTTTCTGTTCCATCAGATAAAACATGCGAGAGTACTGCCCCAAAACCTACCGGAGATGCATCAGTAGCTAGCATTAACGGTGATGCGGGATCGTAATACATTAAAACTCTGTCTGAACAAATTTCCTTTTTTATTTTTTCAAAAGCGATTTGGCAGTTTTTTGACCAACTCCATTTAACATCTTTTTTTTTTTTTTTTTTTTAATTATTTAAGGGATGTGCCAAAGTTGCCAAATTAGGGTAAAATTTGGCATAAAAATTCACTAATCCCAGAAAGCTTTTGATGTCTTGGACGCCTTTCGGCATAGGAGCATTAGCAATTGCCGAAATCTTTTCATCCGTTTTATGCAATCCATTGGCATCAATTTTATGCCCTAAAAATTTCATCTCATTTTGAAAAAATTTACTTTTAGTTAAGTTTAATTTTAGCCCGTGCTCCTTGCATTTTTTGAAAAATATTTCCTATGCTTTTAAATGAGACTGATCATCCGGTCCTGTCACTAGAGCATCATCCATAAAAAAATTTAATTCCTTCGATCCCCTGAAATAATCCCTCAACATAGCGCTGCCAAATAGCTGGGGCAGCATTTAATCCATACATTAAGCGTTTACAAATATACAACCCCTTATGCGTGTTTATTATTAATAATCGTTGGCTCTCCGGATGTACTTTCATTTGTAGATAAGCATGACTGAAATCAAGTTTCAAAAAATTTTTACTTCCATTAAGGCATGAAAATATTTCTTCGAGTTTTGGTAATAGATGCTGTGGCACTTCCAAATTAGGATTCAGAGCACAGAATAATCAGCACAAAGCCTAATGGAACCATCAGACTTAACAATTGGCACAACTGGTGTTGCCCATTCTGAAGTCTCAACCCTCTCAATAATACCTTCTTTCTCAAGCCGATCAATTTCTGATTCAACTATATTTTTTAATGCGAAAGGTACCGGTCGTAACCTACAAAATATTGGTTGAGTATTAGGTTTCAAATTTAGTTTTACTTCGTGATTGTTAATTTCACCTAATTTACCATAAAAAATTTCCTTATACTCCTCAAGTTTTTTTAAAATTCAATTCACTAGAAGTTTTCAATGTTTTGATTTTATTCCAATCGAGATTGATTTTATACAGCCATTCTCGGCCGAAGTTGTGTACAAATTTTCCTTCACAATGTATAAATTTAAAACTAATTTTTGTCCTTGGTATTCAACTTTAATAGGAACATATCCTAAAGGTACCACTTTATCACCCCTGTAAGTTTTAAAAACTAAATTTGTAGGCTGAACCTTTTTATTGGAAATTTTTCTAAATTTATTTATAGACATTACCGAAACTGTTCCCCGAGTATCAAGTTCCATGCTAACTGGTTTGTTTTCAATTTTAACTTGAACCATTATTGGCGGTCTTTTCGGCTCTTCCTCTCTTAACATGTGCGTTCTGGAGCTAAATCCATAGATGGGGACCTCATTTTTCGAATCATAATCATTATTTGCCTCGACTTTCTTTTGTTTAACCTGTAGGTTTTTCCTAGACAAATAACACGCCTTTTCGATATGTCCAATTTTTTTTACAAAAGCGGCATTCACTTGTAGCAAATCTACAGTTTTTTTATTGTGATTTGCTCCTAAGCAACGCGAACAAGTTTCAATTTTACCTTTATTATTCTTAGCAACAAAGTTCTGTTTCCGCGGTTTGGACTCATTTTTCTTGGTTTTAAATACTTTTAGTTCTACGGAATTTCCTATAATCTCATTTGCACCCTTAACCGTCTTTTCCATCGCCAAGGCTATCTTTAATGTTTTCTCTAAATCGATATCATCTTCCTGAAATAATCGATCTAAGATATCACAATCTCGTAGACCGCTAATGAAACATCCCTTAACATTGTATTTAGCATATCCTCTTTATATTCACAAGGAATCGCTAACGAACGTAATTCAGTGACATAACTACTAATTGATTCCCCCTCATGCTGTTTTCTATTAATAAACATGTGCCGACTAGGTATTATTAAACAACTAGGTATTACTAAGTGCCGACTAGGTATTATTAAATGATCCTTAAGAACCTTTTTTAGTGTGGTAAAATTTTTATCTGAAGGATTATCCGGAGAGAGTAAATTTTTCAACGAATTATACAATTTCGCATTCAAGCTTGAGATCAGAACTTTCCCACGTTTTGCCTCTGGAACATTTTGAATGTCCAAAAAAGCCTCAAATCGTTTTATGAACGAATCAAAATTTTCTACCGTTTCATCGAACTTATAAAAGAAATAGAAATTTTGTCTTGTTTATGTTTCGATTTCTCTTGCAATGCGACCATTAAAGCTTTTTTGCTTTATTAATTCTTCAATTAACTTCTCCATCCTTTCAAAATAAAAATCAAATAACTTTCCTACCTTTTTGGAATTTTCGGGGAATCCCCTAATCCAGGTTTCGGTTTTGTTACTACTTACGCGTGTCATGGAGGTAGGTTACTTCCTACCTCCATGACGCGTGTAACCGAGTGCGCCGAGTCGGGAACGATTTTTTCTCACACAGCCTCTTCGCCAAAATGTTGTGTCTAACGGTGTGGGTTTCAGTGAAGTGCATGACGCAACCAAAACAGACTAGTTCACGGCACAAACATTTATTTAATAACTCATAAGACAGCAGCGATGCGCTATTTACGCAGTTACATTACATTCTACTCTACTCTCGTTCACAAAGGTTCTCGGGTATAAGAGTACTGATACTCTCGAAATCAGATGCTACAGAAGTAGTGTAAAAAAGTTCAACAAGACAGGATGGACGAAAAATAAGATTAGAAGTGGACGGCTTCACATATTTTCTGCAAGGGAAAAGAGTTGCATTATCAAAGACTTTAAGAGAAACCCTAAAATAAGTGTACCCCAGTTAGCCAAAGATATTGCTAATACTTCGCATAAAACTTTTAGTGGACAGATTATACGGAATGTTTTACATGAAGGAAGTTATTATGGAAAAGCAGCTAGAAAGAAACCTTTCATTTCAGAAACAAACAGAAGAAAGAGATTAGATTTTGCAAAATCTCAAGTTAATTTACCGGACGAGTTTTGGAACACAATTATTTTCTCCGACGAATTGAAGTTTAACATTTTCGGGAGGGATGGACGACAATATGTGTGGAGAAAGTCAAACACCGAAATGGGAAAACAACATTTAACTCCAACCGTGAAACGTGGTGGAAGGAGCGTCATAGTCTGGGGCTGTATGGCAGCCAAAGCGGAGTTGGTAACCTGTGCTTCATTGATGGTATTATGACGGCACGTAAGTACATTGACATATTGCGCCATAACCTGAAATTCAGAGCCCAAAAACTTGGCTTAGGAATATCATTCGTGTTTCAACAAGACAATGACCCTAAGTATATAGCGAATCTCACCCTGGAGTGGTTACTCTATAACGATCCTCGCCAGTTAAAGACACCACCTCAATCGCCTGGCATAAATCCAATTGAAAATTTATGGTATATAAATTGAACCTAGAAGTCAGGAAACATAGAATTTCTTGTAAAGATGAACTTAAGCTTATACTCTTGCTAGAATGGCACAGAATTCCCAATAGTACAAACTAGACTTTGGTTTTCTCTATAAGAAATACATTACAAGCTGTTATAAATGCAAAAGGTATGAATAAAAAGTATTAAATTTTGTTCCCACATTTATGCTGTGTGCCAATGTTTTTTGCCAATACTTTTTTAACATGCAAATTTATTTATTATTACTTATTATTTTGTTGTATATTTTGTTTAAAAGCATAGTAAAATGAAAGTTTCATTAGATTTGTACCTTTTGAACAGTATTATCAGCAGCGAAAAACTAGTAATTGAAACTCTGTTAGCTGTTAGTTCGCTTAGAAGCAGGGAAACTGATATTCGTGTTGCTTATGTGCGTGGTTATGGATTCTATGGAAATGAAAGAACTGATTTCTTAGCTAAAGATACTTTAAATTTGTCCATCGGTGTTAATATTAGCATTCTAAAGAGCTATTGTCTTTTTATCATAAGAATCTTTTATCTAAGTGGAATGAAAAGTATATTTCATTTTGTAATGCTGGGGACAGAACGTTTTTTCATTCTATTTACCATAGACTGCATTCCAAGTCTTTCCTCTTTATTAATTTTAAAGTATCTCAGTTTTTATTCGGTCACGGTAATTTCCAAGTTACCTATAGCTTTTCAATCTAAGATTAGATAATTTATGTAAGTGT